TATTTGATAAAATAAAATATTCTAGACACCTCTCAAGAACGATGTAGTATTATTTTTTGGATAAAGATATTTGTACCCCAAGGATTTGTGTCCCATTTTGTACACCGTAGGGATGTACCAACATTTTGTGTTGGTGTAATGCAAATTTTTGTTAACGCACCAACACTTTGTGTCAGTGCAAATTTTTGTTAACATACCAACACTTTGTATCAGTGTGAACTATCAAAATACTGGTGCATACTTTTGGTATATAAATGGAGTACAAATTTTGGTGTATATGTATGATGCTCTTATTTTTTTATTCTTTTAGAACTGAAAAGCAACAAATCCGGAACGAGAAAGGTAATGCCGACGTGTCCATCCCAATTCCCCAGCACACCCAGCCACAGTCATTGCCTATATAGCACATGCCCCGCAACCCCAAAAACCGTACTTTTTCTTCCCCGTGGAATCCCCACTGCTCCGCAGGGCAATTCCCCTCTCTGGTTCTCCGTTTCAATTCTCAAATCCTCTTTGCGCATCAGAGACGACGAGCGGCGGCGGCGGAGGGGCGGGGGCCGTTGAGCAAGTGTAGAGAAGACACACTATTCTTCGCTGTATGTCAGAGGAGAAGTATTGCTGTTCCTACGGAGATCAGTATTACGGCGGTTACAGTGAGCTCGCGAATCCGTTACAATGGCCTCAACTCCGAAAAAGGCGGCGCAGCCATCCGGTAATGACTCCCTCGGCGTCCTCGCGGCCGCCGCGGACAGCGAGGTTCTGCAGGAATGGACCGCCTCCTCTGTAGACCACCGCCAGATCAGCCACCTTAAATCCGCCGCAGCGGCGGCTTCTTCTCCTCTGGCGGTCGTGATCGACTCTGTTGAAGAGCCTCCTCCATCGAATCTACAATCATCTAAAGGTATATTCGTCCAATCGGTCGTACAATTGATCGTATATTCGTATCTATACCGTATGTCTGTGGAATGTTTGTCACTTTCTCTTTATCTAGCTATACTCTGTAACTTAGATGCATGCATTGGATTAGGAATTTTATCTTCTTTTTTTGTGTGTGGCCACACGCGCTGGTAATTCACTTTTTTAATCTGTAATTTTTTCTCCATTAGAAGTTATTGATTTCAATCACAGTAATTTTTTGTCCTTTGATGTTGGAGAGCAATGAGCCCCATAGGTATGGCCGTATGTTAACTTGTTTTGTGCTGGTGATTAACTGATTATAGAATATTTTTTCCCCCTGTTGTTATTCTCTGTATACGATTATTCAAAGTTGGACGAACTTTATGATTCTTTTATTCCATTGATTCTTTTGTTACTGCTCCATTGGCGAAGACCTTCTGTGCTGAAAGCTAATATTTCAATGTTTTGCTACTTTAGGACTAATAAGCACGATGAGGGCTCAAAGCCGGCATCCGTTGGATCCCTTGGCTGCTGCTGAGATCTCAGTAGCCGTGGCAACTGTCCGGGCAGCCGGTGCAACTCCTGAGGTTGCTGTTGTTTTTTGCTTGGAATTACTGACTTCACTACATTGAAACTGGTTTTAAAAGAGTTCTTTTACTGTGATGGCAAGGTTTAGGTAAGAGATAGCATGCGGTTTGTTGAAGTTGCTTTGGTTGAACCACACAAGAATGTGGTAGCACTAGCGGATGCCTACTTTTTCCCTCCGTTTCAACCGTCATTGCTACCCAGGACTAAAAAGGGGCCTGTAATTCCCAGTAAACTTCCTCCTAGGCAGGCAAGACTTGTAGTATACAATAAGAAGTCAAATGAGACTAGTGTCTGGATTGTCGAACTCTCGGAGGTACATGCTGTAACTAGGGGTGGCCACCACAGGGGGAAGGTCATTTCGTCAAAGGTTGTGCCTGATGTACAGCCTTCAATGGTATGAGGCTCATTTTTAATGCAATTAATCTTACCAGTTTAATTGTAAAGCTAATTATCTGGATGAATGCTATACATACATGCCATAAGACATTCCTGTGGATTTGATATCAACTTCTCCATCATAACCATGGTAGCCAGAATGAAATTAAGTAAAATGAATAAAAGGCAGGAGTTCACACCCATATGAAAGCATGGGAGTTTTTGCATTGATTGCTTTAAGTTGATTCATTCTTGGAGTTCATTTCAGGATGCGGTTGAATATGCTGAATGTGAAGCCGTTGTGAAGGATTTTCTTCCTTTTCGGGAGGCAATGAAAAAGAGGGGCATCGCGGACATGGATCTTGTGATGGTCGATGCCTGGTAGGTTTTGGCATTCTGTTTGCCCGGTGTATTTCTTAGTTGCACCGTCATTTTTTTCCACTAATTTTTTTATATTCTTCAGGTGTGTTGGTTATCATAGTGAGGCTGATGCACCTACACGCAGACTTGCAAAACCGCTTATTTTCTGTAGAACCGAGAGCGATTGCCCAATGGAAAATGGCTATGCTCGTCCTGTAGAAGGAATTTACATACTGGTTGATATGCAAAATGTGGTTGTTGTAGAGTTTGAAGATCGGAAATTGGTCCCCTTACCCCCTGCCGATCCGTTGAGAAATTACACTCCTGGTGAAACTAGAGGCGGGGTTGACCGAAGTGATGTGAAACCACTTCATATCATTCAACCTGAAGGTCCTAGCTTTCGCGTCGATGGACACTTTGTACAGTGGCAGAAGGTACTTTAGTTGACAGCGAATGAATCTCTGGTTTGTCTCATCACAACATGCAGATGTTTTTTTTGTCTAAATCAAATCCCTTTTTGTTCTTAGTGGAACTTCCGCATCGGCTTCACCCCCAAAGAAGGCTTAGTTATCTACTCAGTTGCGTATGTTGATGGTAGTAGAGGCCGTAGGCCAGTAGCTCACAGGTTAAGCTTTGTTGAGATGGTTGTTCCTTATGGGGATCCAAATGATCCACACTACAGGAAAAATGCATTTGATGCAGGGGAGGATGGCCTTGGTAAAAATGCACACTCGCTGAAGAAGGTCCTGAGTTAAATACATTCAACTCTCAAATGTTGAAGTGAAATGATATGTTTCTATCCATCTTTACTGTGCTTGACCATATAATGCTAGTTTCCCACTAAGAAAAAGTTTTGCTTTCATTGCAGGGATGTGATTGTTTAGGCTACATCAAGTACTTTGATGCACACTTCACAAATTTCACAGGAGGCATCGAAACAATCGAGAATTGTGTTTGCATGCACGAGGAGGATCATGGAATCTTATGGAAGCATCAAGACTGGCGAACTGGCTTAGCTGAAGTAAGGCGCTCGCGACGGCTCACAGTGTCTTTCGTATGCACCGTGGCTAACTATGAATATGGCTTCTTCTGGCATTTTTATCAGGCAAGTTATTCGTGTCCATATGGGTTCAATAGAACAAATAAATCTTTCTGTTGATATTTACTGAAAGACATCACATTTTCACTCCAGGATGGGAAAATTGAAGCTGAGGTTAAGCTTACTGGTATTCTCAGTCTTGGCGCTTTGCAGCCCGGTGAAGTTAGAAAATATGGCACCACTATTGCACCCGGTTTATACGCACCCGTGCATCAACACTTCTTTGTTGCCCGTATGGACATGGCGGTTGATTGCAAGCCTGGAGAAGCACATAATCAGGTTTACTTTTAATGACTTCAAAAGCAAAAAAAATACTCCGTAATTGTTTAATATTAGTATTACTTTTTTACGGTAAATCTTGTTCCTCTGTAGGTGGTGGAGGTAAATGTTAAAGTTGAAGAGCCGGGAGAGAATAATATCCATAACAATGCATTTTACGCAGAAGAGAGATTGCTCAAATCCGAACTGGAAGCCATGCGTGACTGCAACCCTTTATCAGCTCGCCATTGGATTGTAATGCTTCTTTGCTCGTTCTCTGTGGTTTTGTGTTTGAAATTTTAGTTTTTTTCCCCTTACCTGTGATTATGTGTTTATGATGATGGTGGCAACCCAGGTCAGGAACACGAGAACCGTAAACCGCACTGGACAGCTAACAGGGTACAAGCTTGTGCCTGGCTCCAACTGTTCACCACTAGCTGGTGCAGAGGCAAAGTTTCTGAGAAGAGCTGCTTTCCTAAAACACAATTTTTGGGTCACGGCCTATTCACCTGATGAGATGTTTCCTGGAGGAGAGTTTCCTAATCAGAATCCACGCATTGGAGAGGGGTTGGCTACTTGGGTTAAACAGGACCGGCCTCTTGAAGAAACTGACCTTGTTCTCTGGTTAGTATATTTCATAATTTACATTTTACCACCCTCTTTCTTATACAGATGACAGTCAAGGAAACACGGAATATTGAGTTAGAAGGATGTCTATTAACTGGTGCAATTACAATGCGGGGTTTTCAGGTATGTGTTTGGAATAACACACGTTCCTAGGTTGGAAGACTGGCCCGTCATGCCTGTGGAGCACATAGGTTTCACTCTCATGGTAATCTACTCCTACGTTTGATTCACTTCTTTTCTATAATTGCACGCGAACCTCCTCAACTCGAGGGATGTAGGATGACTTGGGTTTGCATTTTCCAAACAATGGGATAAAAACCTTAGTATAAACTGTATTATAATCTTAGTCTGATTCAGATTCTAAAACTGGCAAAATTTGTCATGCATATGCCCATGAATGCAATGATGAGAAAACATGTGTACAACAAAATTTGGGCGGGTTCATGTGACATTGAGATCAATGTTGTAGCATATGACATACTTATGTTGTCACTTTTCTTTTAAATGATCTGCAGCCACATGGATTCTTTAACTCCTCTCCAGCAGTTGATGTTCCACCGAGCTCCGCCGCCGAACCGGATCCCAAGGAAAACGGAGGGGTGACAAAGACTTGCCATACGCCACCATTGGTTGCAAAGCTTTGATTGCAAGGGAAGGTTGCTGCCTGTGTTTCCTATGTTCTTTCATGCCTTATAATATCTCTACAATACTGTTGATGGCTTTTTTTAGCAAGACTTTGTGGATTCTTCAAGTACTGGGAATTTTATTTTATTTTTTTCTTTTAAATGTAAAAGGAAAAAACAGTATCTGGTCCTACATTCTCATGGTTCAAAAATCACAACTATTTTGATCTATGGAGTATATCTATACAAGATGTGTAATTTCAGTTACCAAGACATTTGCCATTTGTGGGACATCACTAAGAAGGTTGTCTTTATAACAAAAACATTATATTTGAAGGGACTAATAACATATATAAGCCTAAAGGAGTCTCTCCATTCAGGTCTCTCCCAAGTACCCAAATAGAACTTTTATTTCATCTTTTTATAACATCGACAAGATCATGTTCCATGGGAGAAGAGACTACAAAGACAAATCAAACTTACCGGGGAAAAAAACCAAAAAAAGGAAAGTCAAGGCAAGGGTGGAGGAAAAAAGGGTGGCGGGGGGGTTGAATTAACGAGACGAATGTGAAGCACGCCAGTTATTGGCAAGGATCATTGCTTGACTGCGAGAAAATGGGGACAGTTGTTGTAGTGCAGCATTCTTTACATGGCTAGCGGCGGCCTCGCCTGCACGTGTTGCAAGTTCCAGGTACACCACAGCATTCATCATATCCCCTTCCTGCAATATACACACACAACACACACATCAATTCTGACTTTTTAAGCACTCGGTGGGCTACACAAAGGTGTCATCAATAGGCATATAGATATATATACTCCCTCCCTCCCTCCCGAAACCAAACCCATAGTTTGATTTTTCTGGTCACAGTTTATAAATGTTTACCATCTTAAACCAAACAAGGTGGAGGTGGCTCATTTTCCCTGCCCTTCCAACCTTTGCCCCCAAACCAAACATGCCCTTAGACTATCTGTATTACTTCACTTGGCTCACCCCAAAAGTGCAGCCAACTCAGTGCCACATCATCACCGACTGCACTCACTTTTTTACTCACTTAACATGCAACTTCACTTGGACTTTAATGATTTACAGTCCATTACACAATTATTAATTTTATTTTCTATTTACATACTCCGGTATTTTCAAATCAACAATATCATACAATGTAAATTATATTGAAAAACAATTCACAAATAAAACATAATACTTTTTGTTTTTTTATAATACTAATTAAAACAGTCTGCTCATTAGACGCCCCCCCCATCATGCCCTGGGGGCTGGGGGCGTTTCATGCCTGTCACACCACCATACATGGTCTATGCCAGCGGGGATCACTCCTCCAAAATGGTGATGCATTACAGATAGCTTTAGGGAGAAGGTGAGTATTGAGATTTAAGATGTTTGGTTTACAGAATGTGACATTACCTAATGTGATTGAGGGTTATGTAATCTATTCTCACATCACCTTAATAATACCTTTTACTACTCTTAAGTATGTCTTTGACAACGTCAAAGACAATGGTAATCTCATATTCTCATTAACTAACATCCAGACCTTCTGCACTAATCTCACCGTCAAAATAAATATCACAATTCAATGAATTCATGAACCAAACGCATCCTAAAGACTGCCTACGTGAGTATGTGGGTTCTAGATAAACCAATTACACTTACAGATAAAAGATGTAGCCCATGTTCGAACTGAGCTTTGCAGTGACCTCGATCGGCTGCCTTCTTCATCCATTTCCTCCCCAATTTATGAGACTGCGCCAACCCCTCTCCAAATGAATAGCACAATGAAGTGTTATACATGGCACGCACATATCCACCTTCGGCAGCTTTCAGATACCACTTGGCCTGTCAAGGTAGTGCACAAACCATCAAAGACATTCTTTTCGGAAGTAAGATCGAACAAAAAAACGACAATTAATTATGACTATTTTAGCTTCATTGGCAATGGACATAGATGAAAAGGCAAACATTTTTTTACTATTTTTTATGCACACTGTGATTGAAATGGAAGATTAAAGTGTTGTAAATGTATGAGATTAAAGAGTGTCATACGGCTTCCTGAAAATTCTTATGCACACCGCGACCCTGATGGAAACACAGTGCAATTTGGTATTGAGCACGAACATGACCGGCAACACAAGCTTTATACAACCACTTAACACCCTCTTCCCACTTTGAAGTCTCACCTACACCACACCACACCATTTATCGTTAAATGGAAAAACAGTTATATCTTCTTTATATGCAAAGCACAACAGAGCATTACCAGCTTCCAAGATTTATCTCTGCGTAAACTATTCTAATCAAATTCCGTCCATTGCCGATGAAGCTAAAAGGGTCACTATTGAGAATGTTTTATCGTGGAGCACATAATGGTCTAAATCAAAACGACGCATTAAACTTCCCTTGCTTCCGGCAAATGCAGCAATGCATCTATGGTTTAACAGAAACAACTTTTTCTGTTTTTACGTCTTGACACAATACCCCAACAGAGTACGGATTATACTAGGTTGTTGTTGTCGTAGTTGTCGTATCGTAACAAAAGTAGCTACAAGAACTAAACTATTCAATTTTCCAGAAGTTTTCTGTGCATTTCAGTTCAGCAGAATGAGTAGATTCCAATTGAAAAGAACATATACTGGCATTTCACAGTTCCATCTATATGAATCAGATCAAACATGAAGGATGAATTTGAAATCTGGGGAAAGGATAAGAACTCAAGTTCAATACCTTGCAAGAAACAGATTCCCAGATTGCACTGGCCGGTGGGGTCGCCGAGCACGGCTGCCTTCCTGTACCAATCAATTCCCTCCTCCTTCCTCCCCATCTCCCAATACAAAAGCCCGGCGTCCACCATGGAGAGAGTGGACCCACGCGCCGCCCCTTTGAGGAAGCAATCGAGGGCTTTTGCCAAGTTGGGCTTGACCTCGCCGCGGCCGTGCTTGAATCGCTTCCCCCAGCTGAGGAACAGCATCGCCTCCCTCAAGGGGAGGAGCGCGTCGCCCCACGACTTGCAGGCCAGCGACGCCGCGCGGAGGTCGCTCCACGAGAAGGCCGCCGCGATCTTCCCCAACACGTCGTAGGGGAGCTGAGAGTAGTCCCGCTGGAGGGCACGGCCGGAGTGCGGATCGGAGAACGGCGGCTTCGAGCTCCTCGATTTGCAGGAAGCCCGCGGGTCGGGTCGGGTGGCGGTCTGTTTCTTGACCAAATGGAGCGCGATGAAGGGAGGAGGGCTTTCGAACTTGGGCGGCCATGTCTTCTGCTTCATCCCGCCGGACGGCGGCGGGGAAGAGTCGAGAGGCGCGTCGGTGGGGGGAAATTGGGAGTTGGTTGGGTCTGTGAATGGAAGGAATTTATCCATGCCACTTTCATTGTGTCAATTGTGTGCCGCCATTCTTTACTCTTCAGAGGTAGAAAATCCGTAGAATCAATTCATGTTCCACACAGAGATCATTTGAGTTAACTCTGGCGGTGTTTGGTAACAAGGTTTTCGATTAGCGTTAGCGTTAGTGTTCTGGATAAAATTTTAATGCTAAAAACTACCGTTGGATAGCTTTTTCAAAACGCTAATGTTAATCTCTAACACTGGTGTCAAACGGGGCCTCTATCATTTTTTTACATGGTTAAAATCATACAAAAAAATAGGATTAAACTATTTGTACATCAAAATTTATACGTAGTATCTAATTTTGTACCTCAAAGACATACACTAACATTTTGTGTTACTGTGATGTTAGTGTGGTTGTTTACATTGGAAAAGAATGTCACTGTAAATCTTTTTAAGTGATTTAACATTTTGTGTCAGTGTGAACCGTAAAAATGTCAGCACATTTCTATGGCATGATTGAAAAAATACTTCTTAGTTTCGTCCTAAAATTAATACTCCGTACTTATTTTATTTTGAAAATTGATCAAACTAAAAGTAAAATATACCGAGAATGACATATCTTTAAAATAAAAGCTCAATCTTAAACTCATCTAAGTAAAAATAATTGACTTAATCTTTTATTATAATATTTGAGACTCGTGTCTCTAAGAAGTAGACACATGAATATGACATGACCCATGAATAGATTACATTACATGCTTTAAATGTTCATTCATCGTTTATGAAAAAAGTATTTATGATAATCTTTAAAATATGATGAGTTAAAAATAATACGGAGTATATTTTATATTAAAAAATTATGGACTTTGAATTTATTGAAAATTATGTAAATGAAATAAATTTTATAATTTTTCAACAAAAATTAAATGAATTATTCATAAAAAGAAATTATTCATGATTAGTCCACGTCTTTTTTCATAAAAACAATGATATTAAAAGTATTTTGAGTAAATATAGTTTTTTAAAAATTATTAATCTATTCTCGTACAAAAATTTATTGAGCTAAAATATAGCTTATTTTATACCACCTAAATAAACATGTGATATTTATTAAAGAAAATTAGTGCTTTGGGGTTTATGTAACTTATATGATTTTTAATACAAAAAATTTTGCGGTTTGATGTATTCCATTACTTTTTTAATAATTAAATTTTGCGGTTTGATGTATTCTATTACTTTTTTTAATAATTTTGCGGTTTGATGTATTCCATTACTTTTTCAATAAGGAGTGCTCGTAAAAGATAAAACTTTTCTTTTTATATTCATATTATGGTACTGATAATCTTTAATAAAGTTTATTTATGAAATAAGGAGTGTTCCTAAAAGATAAAACTTTTTTTTAAATGAAAGTATTTTCATAAAGGAAATATAAATTTTAAAAGGAATTGTTCTAATCCTCTTTATGAGTAGCACTTTTTGAGCCTTCATTTTTCTTTATTGGAACATAAATTTTCATCGAGAATATATATTATAGTAAAAATAGGTAATTAAAAAATTTAATCTCAATATTCATTTATTTATAGTTTCAAGTATCAAACGACAACATATATTTTTGAATAGAATATACAAAAACTTAAAATAGTTCTCGCGCTTCCAGGGGTTTGAAAAATATGTATAAATACCTCATTTATTTTCAAAACTTAATAAAAAATGTACATCTATCATTTCAAAAGGTTGCATAAACACCATATGGATTTGTACTATATACTTTATAGTACTTTATTCACATGAGCATCAAAGAATATTATTGTTTTTTATAGCTTTTTTACAAATATAATTGTTCTTTATAATGTTCTAAAATTCAAATTGGTTTCTTTTTGAAATAAAAAAATCAAAATAAAAAAATAACATATGTTTTCTCTATCTGAATTTACACATTTTTGTTTTTATATTTTCCAAAGTAAACAAACTATTTTTTATATGTTAAAAAATGAAAAAATAGAATCATGAAAGAAAACAAAAGAAAAATAGAAAAATAAAATGAAAAAAGAAAATATTTGCTACCAATGTAGCACTTTTAGTCATTATGCTTTAGTCATTATTCAAGCAAATATTTGCCATCACAGGACATTATGAACATTATTAAGTGCTATTTAGGGAATAAAACAATTTAAGTGCTATTTAAGAAAATGACTTAAGTTTTAGTGCTATTTAGTGCAAATATTTCTTTATCTTTTCTATTAGAGTATTTTTGTATTTTTTCTTTTTTAATTTCCTTTTTCTATTCTTTTTAATTTAATTTTTCTATTCCACATTTTCTTGAACGTCCCAAAAACTAGTTTTTTTATTTTAGAAAATAAAAGATTAAAATTTCTGATTTGAGTGGGATAGAATATATGTAATTCTTTATTATTTTACTTTGAACAAAAACAATTTTGAACTTTTAAAATATAATAAGGCATAATTTAAAAAAAAGAAATTTAAAGAAACTTTTTGAAAAGGAAACAAAGAGAAGAAAAAGGAGAAACAAAAATCAAAAATAAAAAAAATGATTGGAAAATAAAGCACCGTGCCCCTATGGTTTGGAAAATGAGCACTAATCACCCACTATCAAACTTTAGTTATGATCCACTCAGGTAGCGTGAAAGGCAAACGCCTGAATTTCACTGACAAAAGGGTATACATTAAACCTTTTGAGATCATTTAGATTTACAGCTATGTAAATCATAGAGACACGAGAGCATAGAGGGCAATTTAAACTTTTCGGCTAAGGCTTATTTCTCAATTCATAGAGACACGAGAGCTATTCACCCACTGTAACACGTCAATTCGTATAACTCGGAATTATAGGAATTAAGGTGAAACGGGAGCAATAATTTAAAATCTTTTTAAAATCATAAAACAAAATGCTTAAAACAAAACTTCAAAATACAACATATTGAAGTCGGGTCGATCCTTTACAAAATGTCAGAGATAGCATAAGACTTAAATAATATAAATACAATGATGTGGGTCAAGCCCAAAAACCTCAAATGCAATACTTGTAAAAATCATGCATGCCAACCTGCCATCCTATCGTCCCTTTGTCTTCCGGATGGTTCACATAATCTCTTCAACCTACGTGTAGACAAAAAAGACTACACGCTTTGCATAAAGCTGAGTGGTACGATAACACGAGAGATCGATAACATATTTATACTTAAATTCCATGCATTACATTGGTCACATAATTTCATAGTTGCATAATAAACAACACAAGATACAAGGTACACATATAAATATCAAGGAGATTCATTTTGGAAAGTTATCCAATTATTAATAGATTGGTCTTATCGTGAATGATTTGGATATTAAGTGCAATATATTCCGAACCACTCTCAGTCGCTCATTTTCATACATATGATCAGGATGATGGAACAAAATGAATGTCATGATGCATGAGTTAGCCTTGCAAAGATCCCTTGCGCTCTGAGATCACACCATGAGGGTAATTATTCGAACAAGCCTTAGTCTCATCACGAGGCTAGAATATCGTGGGTGGTATCCGAAAACCACCATGTACATACACAAAGCCTATAGATGAAACTCGTAGGACCTGAAGGCTCCTGGGCGGGCCCGCGCTAAGAGCCACACTAAGCCTGTCCTCTTATGCGGTATGACATGACTTGAATGAATCCTACGACATGCGTGTATGACATGCGTGATGAGATGAATGGATATACAAACTTTTGGATTAATTCCAAGAGTATATCATTCATAATAAACATACAGTGCTAGATATAAGGAACCATATTTGGATAACCATTTAGGTTCGAAACAAGTTTCTGTCTAGTTTCTGGTACCGTGACTGTTGACCGTTTCTACCGATGCTCGACCGTTTGGTCACTACGGTTGAGATTGAGACTCCAATGGTTGACCGTTGCTCGGACCGTCATACCTTATCACGGACGGTAGAGGTGGTGAACCGCGGAAGAGCAGAACAGTCCACTGTCTCTGCCCACGGTCAACCGTGACCACAGCAGTTGCTCGGACACCGTGCACGATCCACCGTCCTTGGCGGCGGTCGATCGTCACGCTGACAGCGAGCTAGGACAAGATTTCCTTCAACGTTTTGATTATGCTTAAGACTTCATTCTCAAGCATGTTGTTGGTTACTTTTAATGTGGTGTCACTCTTCATTTGTAGGGTGGCCTTTATGTTGACGAGGTACTCTTTATTGGTCTTTCTCACAGAGTTGCAGTTGTTTTGTGACTATTTCCCACCACATGTGAAATATGCCTCACAACAAGTTTCTATGTTTTTTGTTTCCTATTTGGAAACAAATATTGTTTAGTCCATAAAAAGACTTTTAAGCATTAAAGCCCCTCCCTCCTGGGGTACCCCCCGATAGTACACATTTAGGTTTTGGACACCATGTAGAAAAAGAAATACTAGAATAATTTTAAATGAATGTGTGTATATATGAAGGCTTTTGTACGTTTTTCCACATATACACTTTTTATATTTTTAAATAAGGTCTATTATATTTTTGACTTCTAAAGATCTTATTTATGCAGGAAGAAGAATGCATCGAAGAGATATCTTTAAAGTAGAGAAGTCGTAAATGAAGTTGCTGCCAGATTACCTTTTTCCTTAAAATGTTCTTTTTTGTTGGATTTCTATCTGTTATTTGTTCGGATTTGGGTATGTTTTGTATTGGTGTCAAATTTTAGTATTGATGTTTTAGTTTTGGATTTGAATATGTTGTGTTGGATTTCTTCATTATTTTTTTCTCCTTGCCGTAGTTTCTTTTCTCGGCGCAGCACACTGCATTATTTTATTAGGGTTTAAACTCACATTAGTTTTTTTTTCTTTTTCGGTCAGTTTAAACTATATGTTTATTCCTTTTTTAATGTACCAAGATAATAATAATGATCCATTAATATTAGAGTATTTTACTGTATTACTGTATCCATTATTTTACTGTATGATCCACCGAAATAGCTTAAATCAAACTGATTTAGACCGAATTGACTGAAAAAAAAAAATTCAATGTGAATTTAAACCTAAAAAAATTATGCAATGTGGTGCGCAAAGAAAAGAAACCACTGGAAGGAGAACAAAATTTAAATTCAACACAACATACTCAAATCTAAAACTAAAGCATCAATACTAAAATTTGACACCATCACAAAACATACTCAAATCCGAACAAATAACAGATAGAAATCCAACAAAAAAGAACATTTTAAGGAAAAAAGTAACCTGGCAGCAACTTCATTGACGACTTCTCTACTTTAAAGATATCTCTTCCATGGAAGCTTTGTAGGAACATGAGAGTAGAGAATATGCTGCATAAAAGGTCTGCGACTGAGCTTTGAATCTGCTGCATCCCCAAGGTGCCCGCCCGAAAGACGAACGAAACTATATGGTTTGCAGGGAAAGGTCTTTCAACTGCAGGGGATCGACTTGAGAAGGTGACCGAGTTAGGGCACATTGGCCAGTCGTTGTCTTTGGGAATGCTATAACATCCCTAATGGATTCGGTGCCCGCCAAAAGCATCACCAGCCTATCTATTCCATAAGCAATGCCTCCTGCCACATTTATACACTAATTTTAAATAACTGCACCTTAAGTTTGGTTGGTTTCGAATCTCTAAAAATCACGAGGGACGAAGATAATATAAACAATAAATGGTTTTTTGAAACAGCATTTTGATTTAGTCCTTTGTTTACCAGAATATAAAACATTGTCAATGATGACTTCATTAGCTCCATTGATTTATAATAATTCTCACGTCTCCCAGCAATTGTGTCATAAACTAATAACAATCTTTCAAGTGATTGAATGCAACTAGTCTCTTTTTTTTTTTGGATAAACTTAAAACAGAATTTTGAGATTTTATTGGATTTTATTGGGTTTCTTGTTTTAGGAAATTTGAGATTTTACAAAACTACTTCAAGGTTATAGTGCTCTTAAAAATCAATATTTCTATAATAATACTCCAAGAGAATTTTTAGGATTCTCTGATATTTTAGGCATGTCAGCGATCAATATGCAATCTAGGAGTATTATAGTAAAAATGTTTAATATCTGAGAGCGCTAGCAATAATGATGTGATCTCGAAGTATTCTTGTAGAATCACAAATTTCCAAGTACTAGCATGGATATTTCCTTTCTTTCATAGAAATTTAATTGGTAGTGAAGAAAATTTGTAGTATACCGTGTGGAGGAGCACCCATATCCAAAGCTTCCAAAAGATAGCCAAACTTTGCTTCAGCCTGCATAGAAACAAATTGGGCACTTAAACATTTTCATATAGGTTGCACTTAATTCACACACAAAAAACGGGGAAAATGATTTCAAGATGTCATGAGTTTAGCAACTAAAAATACTTTCTTGGGGGGAGTGTTTTCTTGATTTCTTGAAGTTTTGTGAAAGTCATATTCCTGAAACAGCTATAGTTTTCTTTTTTTGTAGGTTAAACGTTATATCATAGATATATTCCATAGCTTATTTGAAGCAATCAAACAAAACCTTAATCTCAAATTAATGGGGTTTGCTCGATAGGAAATCTTATATTCTACATTTTTTAAAACAATCTTGTATTCTACATAATCACATGATGATGCATGACCAATTCATAAGCATCAGAAAAACAATTTGCAGAAGAGTCTGATAGAAATAAATGATTTCTCACCTCTTCAGGGGAGATGCCAACCATTTCCAATACTTTTTGCTGCACCTCGCACTTGTGAATTCTCAAACTACCTCCTCCAATCTATTTGAGGTAATATAGTATAAATAGTAAATTCCATGAATGGTCCTATATAATTAAGGAAATTCTACATTTAGTCCCCTGCTTTATGAAATTCCATCAGAGGTCCACATTGGTTTTTAACATTTTCCAGTTTTAGTCCTCCATATTAATAAATACCAAGGTACTTAAAATTTTGGAACTTTACTACTTTTAGTCCTTTTGTAAATGTATCCTTTTCAGGACATTTGATGGAAAAGAGGACCAAAATTTGCAATGCTCACAATTAAAGTGAACCTCCAATGGAATTTCATAAATTAGTGGGCTAAATGTGGATTATCCCAAATATTTTTTGAATTTACTTAATTTAACTATATATTGCTGATGGCCGTTTCTAATGTTGCAGCCATACAAAGAGTTGTTAGTGTAGAAAATATGGGTAAAAACTCACCTCAACTCCATTGTAGACCATATCATAAGCTAGGGCACGTGCACAGGCCAAGTTGTTCATATCTTCGGGGTGTGGGGCTGTGAAAGGATGATGCAAGGCCTGAAAAAGAGTAAAAATGTTTGATAGAGATGAAAACATAAGAGTAAACTCCCTATAGAAAATGTAAAGCTTCATGTGGTCATATCAGTGTTGTCTTATCAATTACTTGCTGTTAGGAACAAAAAGATTAAGTATATGCCTTAAGTCATTTCCTTGATCTATGTGAAAGCTAAAATCATGTTTTATAATAAGGATGAAAGCTGGGAGCATATTACATACATGGCTGGATATCATAAAATTCAAAAAATTGACATTATCCAAACCTCAAACCTCTGTTCTTGATCGTTCCACTCGAACATCGGAAAATCAGTCACCCACAGGATTGAATGTCTAGACTACATAACCAAAAAACAAAAACATGGTCAGGGCGAAAGTAAACTGTCATCATATGTATTCTCCAATAGCTATATCATATGCAGTCTGAATTTATAAACTGTGACCAGGTTACTTCATCTATTAGACCCAATTCATTGGCAATGTGTATTCTCAAACGGTCCAAAGTCTTATTGACCGATGAATGGTGACCCAATGCAAACAAGATAAGATCATCCACACTCGCAGATAATCTCTTAATTAAATTCTCTTTCTGTGTAATATCAAAGCTTGAAACGAGCTGGGGAATCCCTTCGATGTCACCTGCAAGCCATATTAGAAACACGGTCAATGAAAGTAATGGTTAAAATTGTTTTTAAATAACTAAAAAAATTATATTCAAGAGGTTTTAGCTTTACCATCTTTTAAAACCTTTAAGAAGGGCAATCCCTTGGCACCGGATTTAATTGCTTCTCTGTAAATGTCACCTTTCTTGAGAGCAGTGTTTGAATAGGTTTTTGCTCCCGATGGAACACATAAAGCTTTGATTATCCCTCCACTTTCCAAAACATCTGTAAAAACCTTGAAGCTGGAGTTCAAGAAAATGTCAGACACCTGCAGGTGCATAAAAAACCAAAAAAAATGTTATCACTGGAAATTTCAAGGCAACATAAAATGAAAAAGAAAAAACAAGTATATATCTCTTGAGTGTATATTGATAGAAATCTCAAAACAAGATTGTTAGTCTTGGGTAGTGGAAATTGAAGTAGAGTATCAGACTAAAAACTATACAAGAAAAGTACAGAGATTTTGGAAAATAATAGCACGAGAAGTCAATCGGAACTTTACATCTTTCAGTTCAAGATCAAAACGAATATCTGGCCTGTCTGAACCGTATCGATTCATTACTTCATCATATGTCAGTCTTGGAAAAGGATTGGGCAACTGGATACCCTTGATATCTGCAAAAACCTGTAATGGATAATGCCCTCACAGATCATATAAAAGAAATACAAAAGCGTAAGGAAAAGAAAGGAAGTTATGTGACGAAGTTGCTTCAAGACATGACTTTAAACTAATGGCCATATGTAACTAACTTTTCTAATCAATTCTTCGTTGAGCTTCAGCATGTCCTCTAAAGAAGTGAAGGCCATTTCCATATCTAGTTGTGTAAACTCTGGTTGCCTATCGGCTCTCAAATCTTCATCCCTAAAACACCTGCAGCGAAGAACACATTAGAAAACTAATAGCAGGATAATTTCTGACTCATTCACATCTCTAATATTGTATCTGCAAGCATGAGCAAATCAAGAATTCTGCAAAACTAAAATTCAGCCGATGTTGAAAAACTTATGCAAAGCAAGACAGTGACAATATGATCTCAAAGGTGCATTACAAAAACAATAAACTAACCTTGCTATCTGATAATATTTGTCAAAACCAGATACCATTAGCATTTGCTTGAAGAGTTGTGGACTTTGAGGCAATG